GACCTCGTTCCAGTCATTCCTGGCTACGACTGGGTTCGGCGCGAGATGGGGAAGGCCCAAAGCGTGTTCCGGTCCTTTCTTGAAGTTAATGCAATTTTGAGATCGTACAGGGTTTGTGACCCTTCCATTTCCCGAATGATCCGGCTTGAACCTTGTTAGGCCGGTGAGGGCGTGTATATGGGGAAGTCTACTGACCCTCCCCATTTATATGTTTACCAATGCTTCTTCAGGGATTTGGGCGTTTTTCTTCCCTTCACACAATTCGAGTGTGACTTTTTGAATTTTATCAACTCGGCTCCTTGCCAGTTGCACCCAAACAGTTGGGGTTTTTTGAGGGCTTTTCAAGTCCTGTGTTCGACCCTAGGGATAGAGGTGTCTCTTCCTGTCTTTCTTCATTTCTACCAACTGAAAATAGGCGTTCCGCCTTATGGCGTGCTGTCCCTGAGTGGGAGTAGGGATGGGGGTTTATTTACTCTCTACTCTCAGTCATACAAAAATTATAAACAAGAGTTCTTCCGGGTTGCCCTTGTTGATGTCGATCCCTGAGTGGGCCAATTGAAGTTGACGGCTTCGGATACGGCCGCCATTGATAACCTTACCGCGCTTCCTCGCCCGCTGGATTGCAAGCTCGTCCTGTCGCTTGCGAATTCAGCGTACAAAGAGAGGGGCCTGGAGAGTGAGTATCTCGTCCTCTTTAGATTGTTAGGGTTTGTGAAACCTTCTTTTTCTGATGTGTTTTATTTTCTGTTTGCAGGCATCATGGGGAAGAACAAGTGGCGAGAGCTAAAGCATCGCTACAATGTTGCTGAAATTGAGGTCCCCGAGCCTCAAGAGGAGGAGATTTCCCCCCTGAAGGTCAACCAAAAAAGAAAGAGGGGCGAGAAAGAGGTCGGGGGGACCTCTGCCCCTCGTGGAACGGAGGAGGTGACCTCCAAGGCCGCTGATGCCGATGCAGTCGACCTTACTGGGAGCCCTCCGCCTGGGGAGGCTCCCCAAATGGTCGCTGCGGTGACTGCTGAGCGAGTTGCTCCTTCTGCCGAGGTAAGTGTCTTGTTTTCTTTAACTTTTCTTCTATGTCGGTTTTGCTTTGTTTATTGATGCACTATTGCTCTTTGAAGGCAGGGATAGCTGCTGAGGTGGAGGCCCCGGTTGCTGAGCAAGTCGCCCAGGCCGCCGTGGTGAGTACCTCGCTTTTCGTTTTTTCCTTTATCTTGTATGTTGTTCTTTTCCTTTTTTGACATGGCACTGGTTTTTGCAGGCAGGGGACGCTGCCGAGGTCCAGGTGCCTCCGAGGTCGGAGGTGCCAGGCGTGGACCCTCCTATTGCTGAGCAGGGGATGCCAGTTTCTGCCTCTGTTGAGGCTCGCGGCAAGGGGCCGAGTCTCGAGGTCTCCACAGCTACGCCTGCACCCTCGGCGGCGCCGTCAGGTTCATCGCAGGGGGCTTCCTAGAGCCAATACATAGCTCACCGCTTCGGGAAGGGCCTCACCCAGGTGCGATTGGACCACGTGAGTGCCTCGGCAGACATGAACTCGCTGTGGAGCGCTGGGGTGACTGCCGAGAAGTTCTTCCCCCAAGGTTCGCTGACCTCGGGTGACCAGGGGCTGATAGACGCTGCCCAGGTCTTTCTACAGAGGACCATGGCGATTGTGGCCCACTAGAAGCATAGGTGGTCCAAACATGAGGAGGATCTGGTTAAGCTGAGGAGTCGAGTTCAACCTTTGAGGGACGAGAACAAGGTCTTGAGGGAGGAGAACAGGTCTTTGGCGGCTGCTCTCGGGGAGGCTAAGCTACAGGGCGAGGCCGAGCTCCAGGCCACCCGGAGGAAGTTAGTCAGGGTCCAAAAGTCCTTGGAGATTGCTTTGAGGTTTAATGAGACCTATGCTGCTCAGGTGGGCGAGTTGCGGGAGCAGACCAATTCTTCCCGGGCTCGGGTGCGCTCCTTGGAGGACGAGGTCACCGCACAGAAGGCGGAGCTGGTGGCGGCGGCCGAGAAGCGCCTTTGCGATGAGGTGCTCCTTGGTGGCCAAGCAGAGGAGAATGCCTCTCTGAGGGTGGACCTCGCGAAGCTGGAGGAGGCGAAGGCGGGACTGGAAAGGAAGCTCGAGGAGACCGAGCGCGCTGTTATTTTTTAGCATAAGAGGGGATTTCTGAAGGCAGCTCGCCAGGCGAGGTTTCTCGCCCCGGGGTTTGACTTCTCCTCCATGCATGTGGAGAAAGTGGTCCGCTTTGGGAAGCTGGTGGCGGAGGATGACCTTGAGGACAACTCTAGTGAAAATGCCTCCGCTTAGGCCACTTTTGTGATAGCCTAGTTTATTTTTCCTGTTTGGTTATTGCTTTTGAATTTATGTTTGGAACTCAGCATACATTATTGTGTATATAGTGATGGTTCTTCTGCTCTTGGACTTGTGTGTTTTTGCGCTCTTGCGGGGCTCAAACTTGGCCTGATGTGTATGTTTTGTCTTGAGGTTCGAACTCGACTCGTAGCTTATTATGAAATAAATTGTACCACGGTTCAAACTCGACCTCCGCTTTTAGGGTGAAATAGATCGTGCCTAGGTTCGAACTCGACCTCGGATAAGAGTATTAAGGTTCGTACTCGACCTAAAGGTAAAATGAATTATATCAAGGTTCGAACTTGACCTCGGGTAAGCGTATTAAGGTTCGTACTCGACCCTAAGATTAGGGTAAAATGAATTTTATCAGGGTTCGAACTCGACCTCGGATAAGCGTATTAAGGTTCGTACTCGACCTAAAATTAGAGTAAAATGAATTTTATCAAGGTTCGAACTCGACCTTGGATAAGCGTATTAAGGTTCGTACCTAACCTAAAAGTAGAGTAAAATGAATTTCATCAAGGTTCAAACTCGACCTCGGATAAGCGTATTAAGGTTCGTACTCGACCTAAAATTAGAGTAAAATGATGGAGATAAGAGAATGAGTTATTTTATTGGATATATGTGCCTCGTTAAAAACCCTCTCAGCTAAAACCCATTTTTATATTTTTTGGGATAAAAGACTGAGGCGGGAAAAGAGTGCACAACTCATTTGTACAAGATTCAACTGAATAAGGCTTGAGATGCGTGGCATTCCAAGTTCACGGTATGGGCTTTCCGCTAAGTTCCTCTAGTCGGTATGCTCCGTTTTCCAAGTCTTCTATAACTTGGAAAGGGCCACCCCAAGTGGGTGCGAGCTTTCCATCTAACGTGTCTTTCCGAGCTTCTCCTAGCAAACGCCACACCAGGTCACCGACTCAGAAAGAGCGAGGTTGCACTCGCGTGTTGTATCTTCTGGAGGCTCGGAGCTTGCAGGCTTCTTCGTGGATTTGAGCTTCTTCTCTGAGCTCGTCAACCAGGTCGAGGTCGGCTGCCAACTCTTGAGCATTCTGCTCGTTGTTGAAGGCTTGGCGTCAGTGCGATGTCTCTCCGACTTCCACTAGGATCATTGCATCAGCCCTGTAAGTTAGCCTGTAAGGCGTTTCTTGCGTTGTTGACTGGGGGTGCAATGGTACGCCCAGAGGATGTTGGGAAGCTCGTCGGCCCACTGTCCTTTGGCGTTCCCTAGTCGCTTCTTAAGTTCCCGGAGGATGACCTTGTTAGCTGCTTCGGCTTGGCCATTAGTTTGCGGATGTTCCACCGAGGTCGGGAGATGCTTGATACCGAGCTCGCTGAGGAAGTCCTCGAATCCTTGTGCGATGAATTGCCGGCCGTTGTCGGTAACGAGGGTGTGAGGGATTCCGAATCTGCAGATAATATTCCTCCAGGTGAACCTTTGCACATTTTCAGCGGTGATTTTGGCGAGTGGGCATGCCTCGATCCACTTGGTGAAGTAGTCGATCGCCACTAGGAGACCTTTCGCAGGGGGGAAAGGCCCGAGGATGTCCATTCCCCATTGGGAGAAAGGCCATGCCGACATCATGGGGTGGAGAGCTTCGGGCGGCTGCCGGTGTGTGTTGCCAAACTACTGGCTTTCCTTGCATCTTTGTACGTAGTCCTGGCAATCCGATTTCAGCGTGGGCCAGTAGTATCCAGCTCGGAGTACTCTGATCGCCATTGACCGTGCTCCGGAATGCATGCCACATATGCCCCGGTGAATTTCCTTGATGACGTAGGCTGCCTGAGGCGCAGTCAAGCACTTGAGCAGTGGAGTGGAAATGCCACGTTTGAATAGCTCGTCCCCAATAATGACGAACTTAGTCGATCTCATCCTCATCTTCCGAGCGTCGTCCTTGTCTTCGGGCAAGATCCCTTCTTCAAGTAACTCCAGATGCCTGTCATCCACCCCTGGTCTTCGCTGTTACTGACATTGACGACTTTGTCGTCCAGGCTGAGTGAGTGCAAGGTCTCCTGGATGATAGTTCGATGCTGTCCAGGCCTTTTGGTGCTGGCGAGCTTTGATAGGAGGTCAGCTCGGGTGTTTTTTTCTCGCGGCACATGCTGTATAGTGAACTCGTCGAAGGACGAGATCTGGTGGGATGCGACGTGGAAGTACCGCTGTAGAAGAGTGTCCTTTGCCTGGTACGTCCCACTGAGTTGCTCCACCATGATCTTCGAGTCGCTGCTGCAACTCACTCTTCGAGCTCCGAGGTCGTGGGCTAGCCTTAGTCCTGCGAGGAGTGCCTCATACTTTGCCTGGTTGTTGGTCACCTTGAAGCAAAACTTGAGGGATTGCTCCAAAGTGACTTGGTTTGGCCCCTCCAATATGATACCTGCACCACCACCCTTAGAGTTGGAGGACCCATCAACGTGTAAAGTCCATACCTGGCAAAAGAAAATAAATTCTAAGTCCTAAACACCCCAAAATACAAGGGTAAAATTGGAAATACAAGTAAAATAAATTGTATGACTAAAATACCCTAAAATACAAGGGTAAAATAGGAAATTAAAGACAAGGGCAAAATAGGAATAAAGAAATAAATGCTATAAAACCTAGGAGCTAAGGTCCAAAAATGGCCTTACTATCCCATTCCTCTTGCCTCCTTTAGTATATCACCTCTTGGTCTTCTCGACCTTAGTGTTATTCCATCACTTTGCATCCCATTTTAGGCTTGATATAGATAACATGCCTTCCTGGTAAATAATAAATAAGAATAAAAAGGGAGATCTACCCTATGCACGTAAGAAATGAAAATTACTGTAATAAAATGCGACCCCGACACATCAAATCGGGGAACACTTATTTTAAAATCAGTAATTGGGGGCATCACACGCCCAAATCGCCAATTCAAACACCGAGACTTCCCCATGCGAAAACAACAATTGTCGGGATAGGAGGAATGATCAACAATGGACGAATTCTTGCTTTTAGGGAATTACAAGACAAAATCCAATTGAAGCATAAAGGCATTGCATGATGAGGACCCGCTAGGAAGAAAACCCGCATGGGGCATTCTAGGAAAAAATTAGGGCAAAGAAAAAAGAATCAAAATCTAGATAGGATACGTCTTATGCAAAAGTTAGGGATATATAAAAATAAAAAAATGCCTATCTGAGTTGAAAACCGAAAGGCGACTCAAGTATTTCCTTTAGAAAGCTAGAATTCATAAAGGTTCCACTCCAAATTCAAAACAGCGACGTTTGAGCAAGTGGGAGGGTGTTCTTAAAGTGTTCAGACCAATCATCAATCATGCCTCTCTAGGGGGCAACCTAGGTTAATCTCTCTGTGAATGAATCACAAACTCGAGGCACGCCTAGGTTTTCAAGCTTTGCTAAAGGGGCACGTGTAAATTGAAAGTATTGTTTTCAATGCCATAACATTCTTTCATTTCTCTTCTCCCTTTAAATATTCACTCTAGGCCTCATCCATTAACCCTTAATAAACAAAATGTATTTGCGAAAAAGATGTTACTCGATAATAGCTTGGAAAGGATAACAAAGGAACAATCACATGAATCCAAACATGACTAGGGTTTGATAAAATAAAGACATCCCATACCTCACGACTGCTGCAAAAATGAAGGCCCAGCAGAAAACCCACTAAGGGGGCTTTGCAAAAGTTGGGGCAAGATCTGCTAGGGGGACCATAATCAAAAGGGGTAACCTAGGAAAAAGTAAGGATCAAAAGAAAAAATCTACTAGGGAACATATCCCATGTGAACTAGGCAAAAGTTAGGACGTTAAAGTAGCAACCTGAGTTGAAAACCGAAAGGCAGCTCACGAGAATCATCCAATCAGAGCACGACCCCAAGTCATAACTCCACTTTCCAAAAAGGCTAAAACACAATGATAGCTTCCTTGCAGCAAATACATTTTGTTTGATAATCCTAAACACCAAAGCCTACCTTAGCCAGCCATTCTTCTGAAAAAAAACCTTTTTGAAAAATCCCTTCTAACAACCTTTTGAAAAAATACAAACATCCCCTTTCTTATTTTCTCTTGACCCATATGGCATTAAAATGGTGCTGAAAAGATACATGGAAAATGCACAATGAATACTCACAAATGGAAGGCGAAGATGTCCCTGAACAGAGTTTGCAGACGTTTGACTACACATTGATAATTGAGGAGCCACTAAAACCTTGAGTTCAAAAGAACATATCGCGGCAATAATCACAAACAACATGGATAAAAAGGAATTGTCAACATTAACCTTAACGCGCACAGGTTAATTTCTCGACATTAAAAAAATTGAATTGCATGTTTAGGAACAAACACATGAGCATAAATTGCATCACATGCATATGAGGTAGGGGCATATGGAAGGGTGTTACACAAAAAAAAGGAATAAATAATAAAAAACCCGATAGCAATAGTTGGCGTGGTCGGTGATGAAGGACGTATGCACCTCGTCGGGTGGGTACATCATTATCTGGTTGTACCCGGAGTAGGCGTCGAGGAAACTGAGGAGGGCGTGCCCTGATGCTCCGTCGATCAGCCTGTCAATGCTCGGCAAAGGGTATGAGTCCTTGGGGCATGCTTTGTTCAAGTCGGTGTAGTCAACGCACATGCGCCACTTCCCCGAGCTCTTCTTCACTAGGACCACATTCGCTAGCCATGTGGTGTATTTGACCTCTCGGATGAAGCCAACGTTCAGCAACTTTTGTGTCTCGGTGATGATGGCCTCCCGCCTTTCACCGTCGACCTTCCTCTTCCTCTGGGCCACTGGCCTTGCCTCCTTGCGTATTGCTAACCTGTGACAGATGAAGTCAGTGTCTATACCTGGCATGTCGGCGCTGGACCAGGCGAAGAGGTCGGCATTCTAGAAAATCTCAGCTTCAATCTACTGTAGCAAATTCGGGCTCAACTGCCTGCTGATTTTTGTGCACTGCCCGGGAAGTTTCCTGATCTGGAGGTCGTCAAGCTCGTCAATGGGGCTTGGCCGCTCGTCATGAGAGTCAAATCTCGGGTCGAGGTCAGCAATTTCCACGTGGGTGATGTGAG